GAGGTCGCGCTCGGCAGCGACGTGATTCATGACCGTCACATCACGGAGGCTAGGGTCTGGGCTGCCGCCTTCGCGCTGGCGAGCTGTGTGCAGGTAGCGACTGCCCAGCTCAAGAGCGTGTCGGTGGTGGACGTGCTACTAGCGGACTACTATCGGGTAGCGGAGGAGAATTGGGTCCTTCAAGTTTAGATAGCTAATCTGGCAGCAGCTGTTAAGAAGGTGGCAGGAGCTTAGGTAGAGCTAACAAAGGCTTTGCAGGGCCTCGTAGAAGGAGGGAGTTAAGGTAGAAAAGGACAATAAGGTGGACAGGGTAGTTATCTAAGTAGTAGAAGGGGGAATAGATATAATAGTAGTTTAGGAGGAGCAGTTAGGGCAGAGTTAGACAGCAAGCTGTCTGACATGCCTTATAAATTTTTAGGTAACAAGATAAACCTACTATAAGGCCTAAGGCAGGGTCTAAAACTAGCTAGTTTGTACCTATAGATAGCGTGTTATAATAAACTACGTTTGTTCTCCCTTACTTTATTATCCTTTAGCTGTAACATGTCTTCTATTCCTTTCTCCTACGTGTTAATCTATTTGTCTAGACCTCTTAGAGGTCCTAGCTGATTTAGGTATTATTTGTGGAACGCTCTTAACTTGTAGGGGGCGCCTATAAAGTTAGAGGCGTTATACTAAGTAGGGTCCTAATTATAGCCTACCTACTTAACCTAATACTTTAGGGTTGCGCAATAGAGCTTGCTAGCTAGGATTTCTTCCACTTCCTACTCTTTAACACCTTAGATAGGGATACCTAAGGGTTTTAGCGCTTCTTGTCCTAGGAGTAGGTCCTAGGGGTCTTTGCATAACATATTTAGGGTAAACATATTATAGATATAAGATCCCTTAGGTAAGTTAAGTTAGTATAAATGTCCTACCTATTCTAGTACTTAAAATAGACCTTCCTACAGGTTAGATAGCTTTCTGCTAGGGTGTAGGTTTAACAGGTTCTTAGTGCTTAGATAGACTATATTGCTAACCTTCTAATTAACTAGTTAACAATGCTTATTAACTATAGTCTGTATTTAGAGTTAAGCCTATTCTATATTCTTCTTAGCTATAGCCTAGGCGTCATGCATGCAAGTAGCTAGGGCTAAGGCATCCTTACAGTTTATAGCTTCTAGTCCTTTTCCTTTTACTAGTTAGTTGTTCTAGAACTAGCTCTGCTTTAGTTTAGAACTAAAAAGGACCTAATACAGGGCTATACTAATTGCTAAGTAGGGTAGGGTTATTTAGGCTTAGTTAATTATAGGCAGTAGATTGCTCTAGTTATCCTAGTAGTAGGATACAAACAGGCGCAATCTCTAGTTAATATACTTATTTATAATTTCAGTTTAACTATCTATTTCCTAATAATAGGCAGTTAATAGTTTAACCTTTATACTAATAATATTATAGAAGGTAGACTAGAAAGTAGACACAAATTATAGACTACAGTCTAACACAATAGACTCTAGGGTGTAGCTAAATTAGTACACCTATTAGATAAACAGGTTAGCTATACCTTAGGTGTAGGCTGGCGGATGGGTAGGGTATGCTTTTTTACGTTTTGGCTTATAGCTTCTTAACTAGCAGAGATACGCTTACATAATCTATTATTTAATAGAAGCGCCTAGTATTGCGCCTCCTAATAAAAAAAGAATTAGCTTATTCTGCCTAGTATTAGCTAAGTTATCAACACTACCTAGCAAAGTATACCTATTAATGGGTATGCTTGCTAGGTACCCCCCCTTTTTTAACCTTTTCTAGCCTCTAGCTTGTGCAGTTTAATAGTTATAACAAAACCCTCTACTACAGAAATGTAGAGGTAGTTTTTCTCTTTCTTTTAAGCCCTATTTTGCTAGAATCCATGTATTATTGACAAAGTTTTGGGGGGTACCCACGAAGGACGTTGGAGTATACCCATTCCGCCAGCCTACTTAGGTGTTTATATTCTTATAATATAGTATTATAATTGCTTGTTTAGACAGGCAGTTAATAATTACTATAATCTAGTTATTACTAGCTTTATCTAGTAGAAAATCCTTAAAGTCTATACAAAGATATTGCATAGGTTAGTCTAGGATAGGTAAGGGGTAGAGGTAACCTTAGAGTTAGGTCTACTTTAGATGTCCTCTTTAGTACAGAATATAGTTACAAATATAATATTAATATAAAGTTTCTATACCTTTCTAGTAATATTTCTTAGATAATAACTAATAAGTCTTTTTTATACTTAGATGTGCAGATAATACTTAGTTATAGACCTCCTAAATTAACTGTGTATAGAGGGTAGAGTCTGCCTAAACACAGAGACAATCCTTATAGAGCAATAGTCTATTACTAACGTAATACTAGTTAGGCAAACTTTTACATTCTAGACTAAAGCTAGTCTAGTTGTCCTGTAGTAACACTTTAATTAATTCTAACAAGTCTAGGTCTATATAGCGCTTGCTAGTACTAAGCACGTAGATTTAGGCGTTAGGTTGTTAATCTCCTATGTATTTCTAGGCAAGATTAGAGTTAATATAAGTGTTAAGTTAATTTAGGCCTAGGAAAACGCGTGAATAATTATCTTGCTAGGCAACCTATAAGTCACTCAGATCTTGTTCCCTACAGCTTAAGATGTCTGCTCTAGTGTTGCTTGCGCCTAGAGTATACTTAATTTAGAAGTTAAACAGGGCTATAGTCTCTACCTAACAAACTTATCTTACACTAACCTAAACTATCACCGAGTGTCCCACATCACCGAGTGTCCCAAAATCTCTTGGCAGCCTCAACCTATGCTACAACTCCTTAATTTCATTGCTATTAAACAGGGAGCCTGCGTACGTTGTACTAGCATCTAATTCTAAGGACACCTCTATATCCTTTTTGCACGTTCGCGCATTGTGCCTAGTCCTACCACAGTTCCTACAGCGCTGAAGAGCTGGTTGGGCTAGTTCTTGACCACTACTACCACAAGCCTTCTTGGATTGCTGAGGCGCTATAGATGCCTCAGCAGCTACCTGCGCTGCAGCAGTCCTATACTCTATAGTACCACCCTGCTGAATCCGCTTGCGCTTACGCGATTTTCGCTTGGTCATCTCTGCTAATTGCTCTTCAAGCTCATGGATCCGAGCACGTTGAAGCGCATTTTCATGCAGCATCAGCTCACCACCTTTTATAAGCTAGGAGAAACCAGCCTAAGCTGTAACAGGTAAGCGAGTAAAGGAATCGCGTACAAGCTTTAATTAAGATCTAAACTTATAGGTATTGCTTAGAGTCTTTGACTGCCATGGCGTCTCTAGGAGGAGGGGTTCTAGCAGGGTACGCAGCTGCACTTCAAGGCAATCTAATACAACCTGCGCGTTAATTAGGACTAGCCCTGCTGCCTTAAAAGCCTTTTAACAGTTCTGCTCTATAAACACATTAAAAAACACGTCCTTAAAGGCAGGGAGGAAGCCTTCTTTGTTAATATGGAAGACGCGTCAGCGTGCCAAGTCTCTAACGCGCTGGGAGTACCTGCGCTTCAGCAGCAAGAAGCAGACCACATTAAGCAGCTGGAGGATGTGCGATGAATAGGGGGGCATACAGAGGGTTAGGATCTTGTGTTTAAGGCAGTAGTCCTTAAAATGCTGGTTAAGGTGGCTCTTATAGCCATCCAAAATAAGCAGCTAGTACCCCCCCACCTGGCGCGTCTTTGTATGCGCGTCAAAGTGCTTCAACCACTCTAGACTAAGCGTGTTGTTTGTCTAGCCATTCTTAGAGATTAAGAGCTTCCAATTACGCGGTATTGAAGCCTCCTTGTACTAGGCAGAGATGTGGACGTGTCCCTTGTAGATGATGAAGGGCGGGGTCGCGTACCCAGCAGCGCAGATGCTCTGGATAACTGTAACCCACTCGCGATCGCCTGGCTGAACAAGCGCAGGTTGGGCGCGTCTCTCTGCACCTGTGACGACCTTTATAGAGCTAATTACGCCTATCTAGAAGCTAGTCTTATTAAAGTTGTGCACGTTGTTATTGTGGACGCTATACTTGGCTTTGGTCTCCTCTACTAGCTTAAACCACGCGCTAATTATCTCTAGATCCTCCTAGAGTATTCTCTGCCTATCCTTTGCTTAATTAAAGGCTATTTTGAGCTTAGGCAAGCGCGTTACAAAGCGATCAGCCCAGCACTTGCTAATAGGCTTGCCACCGCGTACAGCCAGCAGTTTATCAGCCATATCTGCCACCTCGCACAGCTAGGGCGCAAATCCTCGCAAGTCAAGGTTGAGTATGTATTGGATGATTGTCTGCTGTTCAGTCGCAGTGAGCTTCTGGCAGTTAGGGGCAGCTTCTGCGCGAAATGTGAGTCCTTAGACGCGACAAGAGAGTGTACAGCAATCAACGTTAAATGCCTCTGCAGCAGCCTAGTGGCTTTAGAATTGTCTGGATTTCAAGGCTTTAATAGCAAGCTGAAGCCTCCCTTCATGTTCAAGTAATAACGCGTTTAGTAGTTGAGGCATGTTAGAGAGAGAGAGTAGGTAGAGGGCTTGGCAAGTTTTGGGACACTCGGTGATGTGGGACACTCGGTGATAGTTTAGGTTA